AGTCAGCCTTCGGTATACTGAGGTTTCCCATCCACGAATGCTGTATTTTCCTTTCATGTTTGGTTGTGGATGCAGAACCCACTGGTTTGGAGGGCCAACTGTATGTATTGAGAAAAATCTGTGTGTAAGTGGACTTGCACAGCTCAGACTGTGGTGTTGAAGGATCAACTGTAATTAACTGTAGTTGTTACTATTAGTATTTTGGTTCTAAGCAGTGCTATATAATAGAGCATTTAATGAATATTAAACTATTTAAACTATTAAACTATCACTCCAAGTTCTGTTTGAATCGTTTTAATTTACACTTTTTTTTATTGTTGTAAGCTATGAAATAAACTAGATCCTAAAGAAATTGTTAACCACTGTTTAGCCCCTTAATTTCAATTAGGTTTGTTCTGAACCCATAAAGCCTTAATTTCTCAGTTGAGGGAATTCACTAGCCATCTCTTAGCAACTGTAACTCTTTCTCTAACTATTCTAATTTTTACACTGTAGAGAATGTTCTAACACTTGTAACCACAGCGTTGGTTTTCATTTAATCATAAGATCTTCACCTAGTTTTTGTCCTTTATGTGAATTTGAGGAGGCTTGGCATTTGATGGTTATTGATAGCCACACAGGAGTTCTTCAATAGAAAAAGGGTTGTCTCTTGCTCTTTTAAGAGAAGAGGTAGGAGAGACAGTTAAGTTTTTATATGTGTGAAGTATCTTTTACTTATGTTTAGGATAGAGACAGCATGAAGAAAGGCACAGTGAAAAGATATGGGGCAAAGACTTAAGACCTGAGTTTGTCAGAACATGAGATGAATAAAGCTTTGTCTTTTGCATTAAATTTGGGCTGCAGACATCGAACATAGATTTGCATTGTCTTTATATATAAACTAGTAGAGGTCTTCTAAGTATATAATCCGAACACATCAGCAAACATTTCTTGATCTTTATGGTATAACACTTTGTGAGCATAAGACAATTTCTTTTTTTCCCAGGTTGTTATGGTTAAAAGATATGGTTATAAGGAAGAGCTTATTACCCTCAGGAAACATAGGATACCATGAATACCCCCACCTGCCTGCTTTATATAAAAAATTTCTTATTAGTGGTTAGGAAATCTAATTGGTTTAATGTATATTAATGTTTGCACAAGTCTCTTTTCTGTTTATTCCTTAAATCCATTGTGTCAGCTCTTTTCCTGTTAGCCTGTGAAGCAAGAATTGATCTGTGAGTTTAACACATTGACTGCCACACTGGAAAAAAAAAATTTTTCTTGGGGCCAGGGCGTTTTATTATGAAAATAAAATAAAAACTTCAAAACAATCCTTTCTAATTTAATGAAAAATTTGTTATTTTTTATTGTTTTCTGTGCGTGACTTATATGCAACTGGAAAAATAGTTCACGGGGCTCCCAAGATGAAGAGATATTATGAGTTACATATGCTTCACAAAGCCTCGGGCTCAAAACTAGCGTGAGTTAAATACAACTCACATGGTAGTTAATCTTAATCCTATAATTGAATGACTTTTTATATCAGTGCTTCAAAAGATAGCACGAGTTGTATTCGACAAATAATATTATGCCAAAAAGAAATGAGAGTATGAAAATACATTTTGTATTTGTAACCAATATCAGAATGTAATATTTAAATTATTACATTCCTTTTTTTAATAGACTTTATTTTTTTGAACAGTTTTAGTTTTACAACAAAATTGAGCAGAAAATACGTATACCACAGTGGAACATTTGTCACAATCAACAAACCTACATTGATACATCATTATCACCCCAAAGTCCATAGTTTACATTAAGGTTTGCTCTTGGTGTACATTCTATGGATTTAGATAAATACATATAATGACATGTATTCACCATTACAGTATCATACAGAATAGCTTCATTGCCCTAAAAACTCTTCTGTGCTCTGCCTGTTCGTTCCTCCTTCCTCCTTAACCCCTGGCAACCACCGATCTTTTTATTGTCCCCATGTTTTTGACTTTTCCAGAGTATCATATGGTTAGAAGTATACACCAACTAGCTTTTTCAGATTGGCTTCTTTCACTTAGTAATATGCATCTAAGATTCCTTCATGTCTTTTTGTGGCTTGATAGCTCATTTCTTTTTAATGTTGAATAATATTCCATTATCAAGATGTACCACAGTCTATTTATCTGTTCACCTATTGGAGGACATCAGACATCTTTGTTACTTCCAAGTTTTGGTGATTATGAAAAGGCTGCTATAAACATCCATGTGCAGGTTTTTGTAGACATAAGTTTTCAGCTCCTTTGGGTAAATACCAAAGAACACAACTGGTGCATCATATGGTAAAAGTATATTTAGTTTTCTTGGTAAGAAACTGCCAAACTGTCTTCCAAAGTGGCTGTTCCATTTTGTATTCCCACCAGCAACGGATGAGAGTTCCTGTTGTTCCACATCCTCACCAGCATTTGGTATTGTCAGTGTTTTTGATTTTGGCCATTCTGATAGGTGTGTAGTGGTATCCTCTTGTTTCAATTTGTAATTCCCTAATGACAGATAATGTTGAGCGTGTTTTCATATGCTTATTTACCATCTGTTTATCTTCTTTGGTGAGGTATCTTTTCGGGTCTTTTGCCTTTTTTTTTTTAATCAAGTTGTTAATTTTTGAGTTTTAAGAGTTCTTTTTTTTTTTTATTTTTTGATAACAGTCCTTCATCAGATGTGTCTTTTGCAAATATTTTTCTCCCAGTTTAAGGCTTGTCTTCTCATTCTCTTGAATATTCCTTTTTCTTTTTTTTTTAGAAATATTCTCAGTTTTGAGCACATCTTCTAAGCTTTTTAAAAATTTTACATCTACGAATTATAATATCATAAAGAATTTGACCTTTTAGAACTTCATGTTTGTATTCCATATACACAAAACATTGATTCCACATATCAGTATTTCCCCATCAGACTTTAAATTTACTTTCCTGAGACATGAAATAAATATGCCTTGGTAAATTTTTTTTCTCTATACAGCCATTCATGCCAATATAAGGATGTGGCAAATGAGCCATGAGGAACATAAGATCATTATCCCATTGAGAAAACACTCATAAAACCTCTGCTTTCTTCTTTCTCTTCCCAAAAAACTGTCAACTGATTTCGTATGAAACACTGGAAAATGCTAATATTTCATATTCCTTTATAGAGTGGTGCTGTGTTCCTCAAAGATGTGTATAGGGTTTGGTAGTTTACCTAATAATTTTGTATCTCTAAGACTCACAGACTCCTGCAAATCCTACAAAATCCTACAAATCCTACAAGATGTGTATAGGGTTTGGTAATTTACCTAACAATGATTTTGTTTCTGTAAGACTCAGAATCCTACAAATTGAGTAATTTAGTTTTGTCATTTTGTAGCCTGCTTTAAAAAGAGAAAAAAATTTGTTAAAATGTAGTCATCATATTTTATGATTCTATTTGTTATCTGCATAAGAGTGGCAAAAAATAGGATGCTTTAATCTTTTAGTCAGAGGAATATATCTATAATATTATAAGAATTGAGTGTTGTCTTACCCTTCTCCATTATTAAAGTTCTTGTTCTCTGCCTAATTGGGTTTACAGATAGTATTTCCAGACCTTGGTTATTATGTTAATTCACTGGATTCTTTCATTGAAATGGATCAGATTTCTGGCAGACAGGCCCACTGACCGTTTTCTTCTGTGTTCCAAGGAATAGTAAATACTAAGCTTGAAATGAGGGGAGACAGCCTAGAGTATAAAATGGAAAGAAAAAAAGCAGTTCATAAACAAGAAAACCAAAAGAATTTAGGCAAACAGGGAATAAATCTATTAAATGAATGGAGTTTTTGTTCTTGTTTTTTCATCCTGGAAGCTTTTCCTTTTCAATGAAGAATAACACATGGATTGTGGTTTGTAATCACAATCCAGAGAGGATAAAGTTTGGCTGATATAATTCAGGTTTTTTCTTTACTTTTTTTGTTTTTTAGACATATTATATAAAAGAATATATAAGATAGCAGTTTATATTTTTCTTAGATATTTTCCAGAGTAATCAAAAGCTTAGAAAGAGAAAATAATCCTTTATGAAAAAAAGTTTAGTTAAATGAGTTTTTTTTAATTGGAGATTAATGCTACAGTATTTGATGGCCTATTGTTGGAAATTACAAGTAAGTAACAGTATTAGAGTACTATATGCTATTTTAGAAAAAAATAGACAAATGGTTTAAGTATATTTTTAGTTCTTTATAATTTTTATTACTGTTTATAATCTGTTTTCTGAAGTAGAAGTTAATAGAAATTTTGTTACTTTGAAAATTATATTAGCATTTTTAAAAAATTATTAGTCAATTAATAGAAACAATTTGAGTTTACTGACATGAAATATTGATTATGTTGTGTGATTTTTCTAAGGCAGAATAAAATTTAGGCATTAAGGCAGCCTCCTGTATTTGTTGTATTGGTATATTAATGAGAATGTACCTACATTTTAATTTATTAAGGTTTTTATATAATAGCAAATAGGTAGATATTGTTTTTTTGCTTTTGATATTTTTATGATGATGATACATTTTCATTGTAGCAGAACAAAACATTAGTATGCAAAAGCTTACCCCTACTTTGGAGGTGTAAATTCAGAGCGAAAGGATTGTGCATATTTAATAAATTGGCAGGCCCAAAGGTGGCCATTGTACATTCATGTTTTCCTTACCCCAGAACTCATTTGTTTCAGATTGACAGAATCAAACTTATTAATTTACTACATCACACGTTTTTTTTTCACTAGAATACAGAAACTAGTCTTATTGTAAGACATCTTCAAATCTGCATCTATAAAAATGTTTCTTTCTTTAGGATATGTCTGTTCTTTGTGAACGGGGTTATTTTTAAAGTGCATTCTTTATAAGTGTGTGGAGTTATATTCTTTGAAATTCATTGCTAGGAACATCCTTAAAGACAAAAAAAAGACTTCTCAAATATTACCTTAGCATTAGTTTATCTAAAATACTTTGTGTTCACAGGAAGAACAGGCAGCAAAATTGAAAGCTGAGAAGATCAGAGTTGCCCTAGAGAAAATTAAAGAGGCACAAGTGAAAAAGGTGATATGTGGGCTTTTTCCTGGGTTGAGATTTTTATCAGTTTTATGGATTTACAAAAAATTACCTTGTTTAAAAATGTATAGCTATGATATGGAGAGATAGAAGGGTATTTCTTCCTAATATATTTTTACATGTATTTTTTGTGGGTAAAATGCATTATAATAGAAGTAATTTTCTGGTTCTAAATTCTCCTAAAAGAGTAAAACAAAAGTCTTAACATTATAATCTTACCTGGTATGATATTTTTTAAATGCCTTAAATTTATTCATGTGGGTTGAATCTGGTTTTTAGTGTATCTTTCATGCATAATAAAGTCATTATTTGTGTTTTACTTTATGTTTAAAAACATTAATCAGAATATTATTCAATGTTAGAAGAAAGCCTTTTCTAGAATGCCATTTTTTGGTGTGCATTTACTTTACTTTTTACCTGTTATAGCTGGTGATTAGAGTCCACATGTCTGATGACAGTTCCAAAACAATGATGGTGGATGAGAGGCAGACAGTGAGACAAGTGCTGGATAACCTGATGGACAAATCCCACTGTAGTTATAGTCTAGACTGGTCGCTGGTGGAAACCATTTCTGAATTACAAATGGGTAATATCATTGTTTCTAATTTCTATGTAATTGCAACAGTTTTCATGTTGATAAAGCATTTTGCGACATCTTTATATTTTTTTCTATAAAATTACCTGTTATAATTTGGTTTTTTTACATTATTTTTTATCAAATATTTTGAAAGTTCTTTGAATACAAAATCATTTCTAGTTCATTTCAGATTTTACAATGGCTAAAACAGAGTTTTTTAAAAAGGTAACAAAGTACTTTTTGCCTTCAAATAAGAACTACATAGATTGGTGCATTTACTAAAGACCATTATGTTTATTTGCATTTGCACTGAAGTCTTTATACCAGCATTTGACTTTCAGGGAAAACATGAAGCACATCAGCAAATTTCAAAGAATGATATCTAGAACGTGTTCTCAAACTCCAGGGCTCACGTGATCCTCCCGCCTCAGCCTCCTGAGTAGCTAGGACTACAGGTGCACACCACCACACCTGGCTAATTTTGTTATTGTTATTTTGTAGAGATAGGGTCTCACTGTGTTGCCCAGGCTGCTCTTGAATTCTTGGCCTCAAGCAATCCTCCTGCCTCAGCCTCACAAAGTTTTGGGATTACAGGCATGAGCTACTGTGCCTGGGCTAGAACATGTTCTTTAACATAGGTTCAATATATAGGACATATTCTTTGATTCCTAATTTGGAAATTAGAAGATACATCGGTGTTTAAAGTTAAACAGCACTCATGGATTAAAGAAGAAATCATCTTGGAAATTTTTTAAATGCCAAGAACTAAGTACCTACCATTGGAAATACTTGATATCGAAACTTATAAAATGCAACTAATGTGTTTCATTTTTAAGAGTAGGCTGGGAAAAGGCTTAAGGCTGAAGAATGATGTACTATTAATACAAATCAGAAGACCTAGATTCTAGTCCTAATTCTTCGTATATCAGCTGTGTGCCCTTGGTTAAGTCACTTATCATCACTCAGGCATGTTTCTTTATTTGAAAAATAAAAGACCAGATAATCTGGGAAGACCAGATAATTTCCAAGGGCCAAAGGCTATAGTATGGCTTAAGATTCTGGTTCTGATGTGACTTACCTCACAAGGTTTCATGTCTTTCATGAAATTCTGAAGAATGCTAACAAAATATTGATATTTTATTTTGGAACAGAGAGAATCTTTGAAGACCATGAAAACTTGGTTGAAAATCTTCTTAATTGGACAAGAGATAGCCAAAACAAGCTTATATTTATGGAACGTATAGAAAAATATGCACTTTTCAAAAACCCACAGGTAAGTCTAAATAACTTACAGAAGTCAGGGTTTTTAAATGTGTATCTTATTTTATTCTCTGACTGCCGAGTTAATAGAGTTAAAAACTGGCAACCACCTGGTTGGAGCAATGTAGCTGCAATACCTATAGGAGCATTTACTGCTACTACTGAGGTAGACAATCGGCTGGGGCTCAGGGTTCCCAGTCCCCGAGAGCCAGATGGGATGAAAGCTTTTGGAAGCAGAAGTATAGCTCCAAAGAGTTACCAGGTCTCTCCCCCATAATCCAGAGCTGTGTTGAACCCAGCTGTTTATTTGGTGAGTTTCTCATCTCTTCAAATAAAAGTACTTCTCTACTTCAGCCATTTATGCAGTTGACAATTTTTAATTCCTTTTTGGAATTATTCTTTTTTAAATCCCAGTAACCTTGAATATAAATGGCACCACATTCTAATACATGTTACCTTGATTTATTCGGCATCTCTCCTTATTCCAAAATAATGTTTGAGTTAATATTTCCCAATACCAAGATATTTTATAAAAATCAGTAGGTGAGGAAAAACAAGAATTATACAATAAAAAGTAGTAATGAGGAAAAATATTAATAGCAGTGTTAAAGGTATTGAGTAGTTATCCCTCATATGGCTTAATCATGACACATCTTTTCTGGATGTTTTAGTGAAAAATACCTATTTGGGAGTATCAGTAGATCTTCCTGTAGGCAATTGTGAAAAATAATTATAGTTAGCTCTCTGTAGGGTGGAGGTTCTGCATCCATGGATTCACCCAGCTACTGATCGAAAATACTGAAAAAAAATTCCACAAAGTTCTAAAAGCAAAACGTGAATTTGCTGCATGCTAAGTACCACATTGAATGAATCCAGTGAATGAAGTGATGGGTAGCCATTGTATTAGGTATTATAAGTAATCTAGAGATGATTAGAGTATACAGGAGGATATGCATAGGTAATAGGCAAATACTACACTATTTTATATAAGGGATTTGAACATCAGCAGATTTTGGTGTCCAAGGGTAGTCCCAGAACCAATCCCATGGATACGGAGAGACAATTGTATACTAATGATTAGAATTCAGATTTCAGCTGAGTCAAGCAAATGAGATTATTGTAGTCTCAGAGAATTTAGGATTTCTTTGTAAAAATTAGCCAGAACATAAATTAAATTTAAATTAAATTTTCTGCATCTGGATGAGCACATTTTAAGGGGATTTGCCTTACTCGTTGTGTTTAGTAATTTTTTAATCTTTCAGGTCCTTTACATGTAACTTCTATTCAATATCCCAAAACATATTTGCCAGCTGTTGCATGTACTATCACCTCATGATTTGGGGGAGGGCATTTTATGGAATAATTCATGACAAATGGATAGGCAAGGAGAAGGCTGGTGTGAAGCATTTTAGTGATGATGCCGTAAGCAGGGAGCTTTTCAAAGGAGTACTCCCCTTTACACCAACAGAAATTAGAGTCTGTTTCTCTAGTAGAAGTCATAAACACACCCGGGCCAAGGGAATAATAGAATGGGTTTATCCTGTAACTTTCATTTATTTGTTTTTCCAGAATTATCTTCTGGGGAAAAAGGAAACAGCTGAGATGGCAGATAGAAACAAAGAAGTGCTATTGGAGGTATGACCCCTCCCCCACCTTTCTGCACATTTTAAAATTATTAAGCACCTTTTTGAAGTCAAGCATGTCAGTGCCCTATATTTGTAGTTACAACTGTTAACTAGAAAAGCCTTTGTTCTCTGATAACTGTGTGAACATTTTAAGCCACTGAAGAATGTGTTAAAAACTGTTACTTTGCCAAGCAATATCTAGTGAACTAAAAGGAGTAATGAGCTTTTGGGGGCTGCCAAGTCAGGGGGGATGGCTGGTTGTTCAAGGATGTGGTTGAACTGTTTTTATCTGCTTACCGAGAGAGAAATTTGAATATAATTAGCTGTTCATAAAATATTTCAAGCCTTAGTCTTAAATAATTCAAATAATTTTAAAAATCATAATGATCATATTTGAGGAAATCTCATTTTGAAGAGTAATAAATTAAAACATAATTGAATTTTTTGCTTTTTGGCTGATTTTAAAGAACTGAAATCCTAGAGAAGTTAGTGTACATGAAAACCTGAATAAACTCTTACTTACCAGTTAGGAAAATGAAGATCAGCAAGTGGTTTTCATAGTGATAGTAGCTATGATTAAGTAAAATTTCTCTTTATAATTCCTAATTTTTCTGTACTTTGGGGAGAAAAATTAATTTAGGCTAAAAATGTCCTGTGTTAGTTTTTAGTGAGGATTTCTTTTGTCTTTTACAAATATATGATTGGTTTTAATATTAGATTTTTATCTACATATAGACAATAGAATTCAGAATTTTGAGTTTGTGTTCCTTTCAACCTGGTATTAAATATTTTTAAAATAAATGTCTACTGTCGTAGAATCATATATATTGATAGTTTTTAAATTGTTAAAGTTTAATTATTTGGCATGTTGCTTTCTTTTAAAATATATTCCTATTTAGCTTGACAGCTAATCTAATGTATCGTTAATTTGGAAAAAAAGGAAATCTAATGCTTATGTTAGCCCTGACACTTTTATTAAATTTAGTATAACTACGCTGTTTACAAATGTTTTTAAAATACTGTTATATGCAACTCGGTTGATGTTTCAAGTTTTTCTTCAAAACATTAGGTGAAAGTTTATAGGTAAAAAATTCATTGTTACATGTATGACTGGCATTTTTACTTAAACGTTTTAGGATTGCCATAGTAGTTCCAAAATAAATTCATATTATATTTGGAATAGAAAGTACTAATTGAGAGAAAAATTAGCAGCCTGGTTAAAACCATTTTGGTTCAATAACCATGTGATGCATTTCACAGGGGTGAACACAACTTCGTTCAGAGAATTCAAGGATCATAAGTCTTTCCAAATTACCTTGTTATTTTAGGAATGTTTTTGTGGAAGTTCTGTAACTGTACCGGAAATTGAAGGAGTCCTTTGGTTGAAAGATGATGGCAAGAAGTCTTGGAAAAAGCGTTATTTTCTCTTGCGAGCCTCTGGTATCTACTATGTCCCTAAAGGAAAAGCAAAGGTGTGTCCCTTCTGTTGGCTTTTGAACTTCTTTCTTACACTAATTGCTTTTAATTTGTAGTGAGTTTGCTGGCAAGCTGAACCCAGGCTATGATTTATTTCAATTCTTATAGGGTACACAGAATATTGCTTTGTTTATTAATCTACTGAAAAGAAGAGGAAACCTCCAAATTTTCACTTCTCTGGTTATTAGTTGGGCCTATCTTAATTCTTGTACCAAATTTGAAATCATAGTTTTATATACTATTTTTTAAGCTTTTTACGGTCTCATCTAGTCTTTGCAACAATCCTCTGAGCTTATATTGCTGCCCCTATTTAACTGATGAAGAAACCCCCCCAGTCGAGAATCCCTGTACTTGAGATATGTGTTACAGACACTGAACTACTTGATATTTTCTTGTTTTTTTCCAAAGAGTTCTGTTACACTATTTTGTATTTAATATACTATATTTATAGTATTAATATCTTTAAAACGTGACATTTCCAAACAAGTTAGTGTTCATTATGAATGGCAAGACAGTAAGTGAAAAGTTACAAAAAAATACCTTTTTTGTTACTTTGTGGATTAAAGAAGAAACATTTATAGAGAATCTCATTGTCTTGTCTTCTGCAAAAGAGCAGTAATTTCTAGGTTGTATTAGTAAAGTTTTGATTCTCAACTAGAAACTGTTAACAGGTATGATATTTGGTTGTTTGCACATTATTATTAATTTGGTCTTTTGGGCATTTTTATCTTAGGTCTCTCGGGATCTGGTGTGCTTTCTCCAGCTGGATCATGTCAATGTTTATTATGGCCAAGACTATCGGAACAAATACAAAGCACCTACGGACTATTGTCTGGTGCTAAAGGTAAACACATATCTCTTTTTTGGGAATTTTAATTGATGTTGGACATAAGAGCAGGTTATTGGCCATTTTAGAATGGTTTGGATCTCCAGCAAGTATACTATTTTTGCTTTATTCTATAGGTTTCAAATGAAATGGTGAAGGGTGGTAAGGAAAAGCCCCATATACTGTATCACAGCTGACCTTAGCCAATTAGCCCTAATTAGAGTAATGCTAAGAAGGAGTGGCTACTACATTGTAAGCTTTGCATCATATAAAATATATTTGATTATAAATTTGACACTCTTCTTTAATAGCAGGCTTATTTTTAATCAGAGACTGATGTGGGTCAAATGTATTTTGTGTTTTCATATGTATTTTGTCTTTTCCTGTATCTACTCAGCAGAACCATCAGAGGGCACTGCGCCCAACTTCAAACTGGACTGGCTCTCATCTGGTACAGAATTGGCTCTCTTTTTTCTCTAAACTGTAGCCATGACAGCCCATGTGTGCTTTATGACCTATCTGCTGTTTTTAGGGAGCTTTCTTTTTCCTTCTTTATCCAGGCTTTTGAGCTTCTCACACTAATTGTATCTGTACTTTTGAGAAGATCTGACATTTCAAGCAAATTTTTAGTGATCTATTGAATCACTGATAAAGACAACATACAAAAATTAGGGGGACGATTAAATTTTTCTCACTGGCTCCATCTTTGTGACTCTTTGGTAAACATGTTTATATCATGTTTGATTTCACTTTTCTGTGAGAATTGTCACTTGGATTTAAGGAGTATCATTTGTTTGGGATTTTGAGGTAGATTTTTGATTGCTTTAATAAAATTAGGTTTATTATATAAACCCTTTGCTGAAGAACACCACTGTATCATTTAGGTTACTTTCAGGAGCAATTGATTTTTTTAAAGTTTGTACAAAGCAGTTTTCAAAATGAGGTCCAAGATCCCCTGAGAATCCCTAAAACCATGATGTCAAAATTATTTTTCTAATAATGGTAAAGTGTTATTTGCCTCTTGCCCTCTCATTCTCTCAAAAATGTATAGTAGGATTTTCTAAGAGGTTACATAACATGATAGTATTGTTGCTCTCTTGGATAGTGTGATGCGTGTTTGTATATTCTTGTATTTTAAGTTTTTCTCAGTCTTAATTTCTAATAAGGTCAACATTGTAGGGGTGGAAAAACTCCTTCCATCCTCGTAGGGTCCTAGCTAGGCCCAACAGTTAAATTGACATAAAACAGATTAACAAGAGAAAAGCATAATACAAATTTTATGTGGCACAAGAGCCTTAATAAAAAAATGAAGAACCAAAGAAGTAGTTAGAGTCGATCGCTTGTAGAGTGGATTGAACAAAGAATAGTAAGTTGTGACGAAGCAACTAAATTATATGGGGAGGCTTAAAGATGAGGGTTATTTTAACAAAGTCTATGTAGAATTCTCTCTGTTTTGACTTCTCATCCTTGAGGATAAGAATGTTTTGTCTTTCTGGTATTAGGAGGGCAGCTTTCACATGAGAATTTTATCTTCTGCTTTTAAGACATAGCACGAAGGTCAAAGTGATCTTTTTGTACCTGTTGTTTTTCAAGTATCTTTAACTTAAATAGTCAATATGCCAGAGTGGTAGATTTTTGATTCCTTCAGTATCAATATACATAACCCACATAAATGAGAGTTATTTGAGGGTCTCATAACAGGAAGACAGTAAGAGTGGGTTATTTCAGTGGCTCCAGGTTGTCAGTGAGATCTCAAATTCTTTCTATCATTCCCTGTTCCACATTCTGCATATCAGCATATCTCCAGGCAGGCTCACCTCACAGTCACAAGATGCAGTTCTAGGCATTACATGTAGACCCAGCAAAATTCAGAAGAAGGACTGTTTCTCCCTATATTTGTCTTTTTCAAGAGGAAGGAACTATTTCCCAGAACCTACTTAACAGCTCTCCCCTTGAGGATTGATTATTAGCCCAGAGTACATTTCCCACTCCTAACCAACCATAGTCGAGGGAGTGAAGCCATAGTGGTTACCTTGGACTAGTCAGAATTCACATCCTGAGGGACACAGAAAGGTGAGCCTCTGCCAGAAAAGAAATGGGGAAGAGGAGATAGCTATAGGGGAGGCACCCAACAGTGTCTGCTATAATCTGTATTAATTATGACCACTCACTATTATTTTAATCCCTTTTGTAATTCTCAGAATTCTTAGATTAAGAATATTTTTGTGCTAAGGGTTTTTTCTTATGTTGGTTTTTATAATAATGATTTGTGTATTTCTTATTTGCTTTTGGTAAAGTAGTTTAGGCTACCCTCATATATTACCTATCTCTTTATACCTAGAAATATTCAATGTATTGAAATGGAAAATCATGATACCCTAAGTGCAAATAATAGTAAGAATAATGGCCATCACTTATTGAAGAACTCCAAGGTGACAGGCCTGCACTAGAAGCACTACACACATCAATCTCAACTGTGTTCTAGAGCCCCCATTTTCCAGATATGGAAACTGAGGTTTAGAGGGATCAATTTTCCCGAGGTCACACAAATTAGGATTTAAAGATATGCCTTTTTTCCTCTAAAGTCTGTATTAGATTTTGCCTATGTAAATATTTTTATTCTTGAGCATATGAGTTCTAACAAATGAAACAAAAACATGCTACAGCACAGTGTCTACACAAATGCAAACTTAAATTAGGGCTTGATGTCTTTTGTGTGCTTTAGGCTACATTGGCTGAGTCTAAGTCCTTACAGTGAAATGCAGTATATGGGAAATATATACACGCTTACAGAAAGTAATAAAACGCATTGTTTGGTAACTAGTTTTTTAAAAGGTAATAATAAAAGTAATGTCTTTGTGATAAGAACGAAAAAATAATAATTGTAGGAACAGCTTATTCATGAATTTTGACAATATAGGAGCAAATTTGACATGATATATCATCTAAAATAGGTACACCTTTGTTGGGACACATATATGCATGTATAATTAAATAAGTGTCTTAAGGGAAGACTTGTGTTTTAAAAAATTATATAACACAATAATTGTCAGAGTAGGGCTCACCTTAGATCTAAAATTTCATTTCTAAAGAAATGAGGCAGGCCAGGGTGATGGTTCTTGCCTGTAATTCCGGCACTTCGAGAGGCTAAGGCAGGAGGATTGCTTGAGCCCAGGAGTTTGAGACCTATGCAACATAAGGAGACCCTGTCTCTACAAAAAATTTTAAATTTTTTAAATTAGCCAGGTGTGGTGGTGTACAACTGTAGTCCTAGCTAATCAGGAGGGTGAAGCAGGAGGATCTCTCAAGCCCAGGAGTTGGAGGCTTCAGTGAGCTGTAATCGCACCACTGCACTCCATCCTAAGCGACAGCCCCACTATACGTCCAGGCTGTATGATACAGCTTATTATCCTAGACTTCAAACTTGTACAGCATGTTACTGTACTGAATACTGTAGGCAGTTGGAACACAATGGTAAGTATTTGTGTGTCTAAACATATCTAAACATAGAAAAGATACAGTAAAAATATGATATTATAATCTTAGGGGACCACTGTCATATGCGATCCATCATTGAAATGATACCATGCAGTACATGACTATTTTAGTATGGTAGGTGGGAAGGGAAAAGTGGTTTGTGTTTAGGGATGGAATGTGAACATAAGCTTCTCAAGCACTGTTACTAATAGAAATATGCTATATGTGATAATCATGGAAGTAATAGGGTGGAATGTTATACTCTATAGTCTAATTAATTTCTTGTATGCCAATTGAGAGAATCAAGCTATATATGTTTGCTAAGTAATAAGTAGGGGTACTATACGTTCATTTGTTTTCCTTTGGCACTTGACTGTGATTGTAGAGCATCTCTTTTATTAATAGTTAACAGAGTTATAGTAATTGTCTAAAGCTAATTTTTTGCATAAACAGAAAAAATAATCTGATAGCACAAAAGTAATCCAGAATTTCTTAGTTTATTGTTAAATGTTTCTGTTCTCAAAATGTTTACCTTTTATCAGAGAATGTGTGTTTTCCAAGTCAGTGTCATTTAAAAATGAAATGATGGGCCGGGCGCAGTGGCTCACGCCTGTAATCCTAGCACTCTGGGAGGCCGAGGCGGGTGGATTGTTTGAGCTCAGGAGTTCGAAACCAGCCTGAGCAAGAGCGAGACCCCGTCTCTACTAAAAATACAAAGAAATTAATTGGACAACTAAAAATATATAGAAAAAATTAGCCGGGCATGGTGGCGCATGCCTGTAGTCCCAGCTACTCGGGAGGCTGAGGCAGGAGGATCGCTTGAGCCCAGGAGTTTGAGGTTGCTGTGAGCTAGGCTGATGCCACGGCACTCTAGCCCGAGCAACACAGTGAGACTCTGTCTAAAAAAAAAAAAAAAAAAAATGAAATGATGACCTTTCTTAATAGCTATTCATCTATTTGGGGAGCAATATCATTATATATTCTTTTTGGAGTCTTTAAAGAGGCTTAAATATTGAGTTTCTGTTTTTAGCAACGAATCCCTCCTCCACACTTCCTCTTAGACTTTGTGTAGTTTTAAAAGTAATAGCATAATATTTTGGGGAAAAGAGGAGAGGCAACAACTTCAGAGGAGGGAGATTTTAATAAGGCAGTAGTATGACAGAGTAGTTAAAACCGCGTGCCCTGGAATGAGACCGTATGGGTTCACATTCCAGTTCCTTCATGTGTTGGGAGCAACTTTAAGTGCTGTCTCAATCCTTTTGCCTTGCTTTCTTCTTGGAACATGGAGATAACAATATGTAACTCAGACAGTTTTCATGAAGACTGAATGAGCTAATATATATGAAATATTCCAAATATGAAATATGTCTGGTACATAGTAAGTGCTCAGTAAATGCCACTATTAATAAAATAATAGTAGAACAGGCAACCTCGAGGTACTGGTACAGAGCCTGTATAACCATAAGGAAAGTGATGAATGCCTTTATTATGGGGGTGGGAATGAAAAGAATTTTTGAGGTTCTAAAAGGAATTTTAAACTAGCAAGTAATCTGATGCTTGACTTAAAAATACTCAAATTATTACACTATAGTATTCTTCACGGTATTATCTGGATTCCCAGGTTAGAGAGATGAGGAGGGAAAGGTAGAGGATAATTTCTCTTTGATTTTTCCCTAATATTGTATTGATAAAAAAAAAAAAACAGTTTATGTAGAGAACGAATAGAAGCACACGTACACACTCAGTCAGGGCTTCTGCTGTAGGCGAACACCCATGCAGCCAAGAATGATATGTAAACTGCCATGAAGGGAGGTGTGCTGATGAAGGCTGGGAGCCATCACTAGCAGCTTGTTCAGATCTCTGAACCCTGCCTGGTAGGCAGAGCCCCATGAAGCAGGAGAACAGTCTCTTAAGTCCTAGTTGGCAACACTAAGAAAGCTCTTTTCAGTCAGCCTATTTCATCTTCTGCACAAACGATGGCTTCTTATGATCAAGAACATTTTCTGTTTTGCTCATCACTATATCCCAAAACCTAGCTGAAGCATCTGGCAAATAGTTCTTCCTCAGTAAATATTTGTTGAATAAATAAATGAGGTAAAATTCCCTTCCTTCTTTTATAGAAAAATATATACTCCTCTACCTATTCTCCTTTGCTCTTTCAAGATTGCTATGGTGGTTTATTATAATGTGATTTACTATGGACAAGGAGCATATTCCAAGAGAGGATCTATATTGTCAGGAGAGAAAACTGTTATTGTTTTGCTCACTTCTAATTTTTGAGGGTTTATTGTTTAAAACTGTAGTCCTCAACAAGAAAGTTGGTTTTAGTATTAAATGTTATTATAGGAGCTGAGTTCTATAAAGCAAAGAATAGAATAGAATAAATGGATTTACATTTTTTTCTTTCATTGTAGACCAGTGATTGATCTTTAGCAGTGCAGATACATAGCTTCTATTGATGGCCATTCTTGCTGGATTGAGAATGTATTCAAATTGCTTATTTTTATTGATCTCATGGGTTTTGACAACAAATGAATGTAATTGAGGAATTTTGGAAAACTAAATTCTTTTAAAGCTCCTTTCTTTCTTATAATTGAACATAAATTTAAAATTTTTTCTAGGCAAAATATAGCAATTTTTTGTTTTTCAGAATAACTGAAAAGGGAAGTAGTAATTATAAATCATTACATGCAAAACAAGAGTGATTAGGGCTTTTCTTCCCAAAAAACTAGTGGTCGAGGCCCAGTGAAGTTAAAACACCTGTTCGTATAGCCAAGGTCAAGTCAGTCACCTCCCATCCAAGCCTCAACTGAAAAGTACAGTGGATTGAGAAAAGTAAATCTTACAATGCTGTTGAAAGCTACTCTTCCCCCAAGAGGGCACATGCTGTGGTCCCGCAGTCTGTTAGAGGGAGGGGCCTATGGAGCAGTGCTCACTTACCCCCGCCACAGCAGCAGGTGCGACTGTGGACTCTTGTCCCAGGTGCCATGCCTGAGCTTTGTATACCCAGCCCAATTATTTACCTCCAGACAAGCACTGGAAACTTGACCAAAGACTCTCTGATTTGGAGTCTTCTGAATTCATGATTTCAGCGGGATCAAATTGAAATCAAACATTCTCTTCCCTTTTCACAGTCTTACAGATCAAGAATTCTACTGACTTTTTAATGGACTTTGTTTCTTTGAAAAGTAGAAGGGATGTTTAGAAATTTCCCAGAATGTGAAGGTTTATTTTAACATGGACATCCTGACACAAAATTTAACAAATTTCTTTCTCATTTACTTTGTTAAAATACTTTTTATTTGGCTATTTTATTTGGCCTTACAGCCATATAAGAAGTATAAGTTGTTTGGCCATTATATTAATGGCCTATAACTTGTCAGGATATGTTTAAGCTTTGATAGAGTTTGTTTTTCTTTAGTTCTCCAGGGGACTTAGTTGGATTTTGCCTTTAATCTTGCAGCACCCACAGATCCAGAAGAAATCTCAGTATATCAAATACCTTTGCTGTGATGATGTGAGGACTCTGCATCAGTGGGTCAACGGGATCCGCATCGCAAAGGTAGGTTTTCTTTGGATGTGATGAATGGAATAATGAGGTGTTTGATGGTATAATTTTGATTGTCACAACAGTTATTCTGATTGTTTCATGTTCATAATTTTGCCACTGTTGAGTTTTCTGAGGCCCAAGTTTCATGTTTTAAATGTTGTCTTTTCTCCTTGTTGATAGGGATAAAGCTTTTAATAGTTGGTATCCAGGGAATAATACTGCTGGCAAAAGCTTGTGTAGTGTCAAAGTGATTTATTTTGGCTTTGGAGAACGCATTATGTGATTCTGACATAGCAGAGTTTAGCCAAAGCAAAATAAATTTTTAAATTACTTTAGGTCATGATCATTTACCAACCATATTTTGAACAGTATCCTAAAAAGTGCTGAGAAGCTGGCCCTGAACCAAGAATTTGGGATGGGAAAAAATACGTTTATATTTGTAATGAACATATGAATCATGAACAATGAACAATTGAATCAAGTCAATTGTTGACTTCATGCAGCCCCTCTAAAAATGAGGAAAAATAAGAATAGGTTAAAATTTACTGGTATTAAAAGAATTTTTATAGTATGATAAGTATTAATTTTAATTCAAATTTTAATTGTTATGAATCAGTAAACAAAAAATGTGTCCCCCTTTCTACCTCATCCTTCTGTATCATACCCAGTAAAGTAAAGATGTCACCATTTACTCCTTTTGTTTAGTATGGGAAGCAGCTCTACATGAACTATCAAGAAGCCTTGAAGAGAACAGAGTCAGCTTATGATTGGACTTCCTTATCCAGCTCCAGCATTAAATCAGGATCCAGTTCTTCCAGCATCCCAGGTAGTTCAAAATGCTTCAAAGCACTATTTTCCTGCCAGTATGGAAGTCTCTATAGAGGCTGATAGGTAGACCTGGAAATTTCAGCTTGATTATTGAAAACCAGGGCCACATCTAATTTTTAAATTACAATCAATAGATGCTTTGTTTGTTTGTTTTTGAGACAGGGTCTTACACTGTCACCCAGGCTGGAGCACAGTGGCATCATCATAGCTCACTGCAGCCTCCAACTCTTGGGCTCAAGTGATCCTCCTGAGTAGCTAGGAGTGCAGGCACATGCTACCACACCCTGCTGACTTTTAAAAATTTTTTTAATTTTTTTGTAGAGAAAGGGTCTTGCTGTGTTGCCCAGGCTGGTCTCAAACTCCTGGCCTTAAGCAGTCCTCCCACCTTGGCCTCCCAAAGTGCTGGGATTATAGGTGCGATCCACTGTACCTGGTCTGATTTTTTTGTTTCTAATTGCTAGAGGGAACAATATCATGGGCTAGTTCACAAATGCATTTGAAATGAAAAATCAGTATATAGACTTATAAAGCCAAGATTCATGTTATTTATAAAGTTTATTCAAAACTCACACATACAGCCGAAAAACAACTACTGATGCATAATTTGGGGTAAAAAGTTTCTTGGAGAGAGTCTTTATACTCAAAATCCATGACGAGGCCGGGCACGGTGGCTCATGCCTGTAATCCTAGCTCTCTGGGAGGCCGAGGCGGGCGGATTGTTTAAGCTCAGGAGTTCGAAACCAGCCTGAGCAAGAGCGAGACCCCGTCTCTACTAAAATTAGAAAGAAATTAATTGGACAACTAAAAATATATAGAAAAAATTAGCCGGGCATGGTGGCGCATGCCTGTAGTCCCAGCTACTTGGGAGGCTGAGGCAGGAGGATCGCTTGAGCCCAGCAATTGGAGGTTGCTGTGAGCTAGGATAACGCCACGGCACTCTAGCCCGGGCAACACAGTGAGACTCTGTCTCAAAAAAAAAAAAAAAAAACCCCATGACGAAGCTGCCTTCCTTCCCCACAGGTTTCCTGACATTTCAGGGGAATGGAAATAACTAGAACTAGTTCAGTATAACAGTTAGAGAAAGCCGTTCAAGTCATCAGACTTTCTAAAATTTTCACAGGAAATCAGTGATACTCAAAAGGTGCTTATTTTCAGATTCACACATCCTTTAAGCTAGTGTACTGTGATTACTTCTTAAGATAAATGCTTTTTTCACTTCAGAATGTTCCATGAATGAGATCTTTGTCATCTAAAAGCAGAATTTTTTAATTGTTCTCACACCATATATGGTGAAAGAAATAATTACTTTAAGTAGTATTTGATTAAAAAGTTATATGACTCAATAATTAAGTAAAAACAAATTATTATACATGCACGGGTTTGTGTGTGTATATATATGTATATTTCCTAGTTTTGTCCACTGAGAGGGCCTAGAAGCAGTGATACCCAGTAACAATGAGAAAACCCAGTGCCTAGATCGTGGTTTCTAATACTACTCTCCAGAAAAAGGAACCAGGGCTCTTACGGAAATTGTGGACTGATGATAGGGCTATCGCAGAGAATATATACAAGATAAGCCTGGAGCCTCTTGCAATGGCAGAAAGTAAGAAAGTGATCAAAAAAAAAAAACAAGATGGGAGTTTGTCAAAGGGACACAGGATCCAACCTGAAAGAGTTCCAGTGGCCAAAGCTGAGCAATACAATAAAAAATGTAGTAAAGGATTATAACCCAAATTATAAAATAAATATCCATGAGTCACTGATACAAATTATTGGATAAATACTGGGAAGAAGAAACAACCTTCCTGTACAGATTTCTAAATGATTAAGACACTTTGCCCTCAAGGAGGTAGAACTCAACTCCACACTCCTCAAGTGTGGACTGTGCATAGTGACTTGCTTTCAACTGGGGGGGGATGGGCACCTTCACAGTGGAAAAACCTTACAAACACTGCCTCCGCCAGGTGATCATTATCATCAGTAATAAGTCATATTGATGACAGATACCCTTGATATAATGTGATGAGAATGGCTTTTTTTCTCTGTAGTCTTCCTCCCCAAATCCCATGACCTCAGATGATTAATGAAGAGGAAAGCATCAGACAAACCAAAACTGAGAGACAGTCTGCAAAATACCTGACCAGTACTCCCCAAAACTGTCAAAGTCATCAAAAACAGGAAAGTCTGAGAAACTGCTGTGGGTGACATGACGACTGTTATGTGGTATCCTGGATCAGAAAATGGACATTAGGGAAACACTAGTAAAATCCAAATGAAGTGTGGAGTTTAGTTAATAGTAATGTACCAATGTCATTTCCTGAGTTGTGACAAATGTCCTGTTATAGTAAGGTAGCTTGTTAATTGGGGTAAACTAAAGAGAAGTAATATTAAAAGAGGACACTTTTGACCCAAGGAGAAATTCTTTAAAACCAAGCATATTGCTAAATAATGGGATAAACTAGATACCAGGTATGTACAAATTCTGTGCTAAAACTGTTCTAATATTCTGATATTCAAATACCTAATCTGTAAATACCTAAAACTATTCTAAGATAAAACATTTATTAAACTGGGGGGGGTGGGGTGGGGTGGGGAGGGAACCCTTCCAGAACATGGATTAGGATAGGCAAGGTAAGAGTAGCAAGTAGGAAAAGTATGTAGGAAAAGGAAATTAAGGGATAGAAGATTGAGAAAAGATGAATAATGTTTTTTTAATTTTTTAATGATATTTTTGAAAAATTTCTATAGTACTTACGTCAGGCGCTTTCACACACTATGATGTGTTATAGGTTTAGTGCCTTTCCCTGTGCCAACATCATTCATATAGTTTGTGTAAAGTATTAAGCAGACTTTTTAATATATATCATAAAATCATATATTGAAGAGAGCTCAAGGATTCATGTGTTCCAGCCTCCTGTCTTGTAAACTGTTGTTCAGGATATTAAATAGGGATAATAAATGAGGCTAGTGAAGTTGTAACTTTTAAAAAACTACTCAGCTATTATGTGATCAAGAAAGAAGAAAACAGAGTAGGTTTTATCTTATGTTGCTTGTATTTTTGCCCTAAGGATATTGTCTTAACTGTCTCCAAAAGAGTTTGGGTTTAGGATTTCCTTGTGGCTATTATCTTTGACTACTTTGGCTAACTTGGCTGACTTGCTGGCTTAATATCACAGTCTAGTGATATCCACACATCACAGAGTAGATCAGATCAGTTTTAACATTTGAGTCTCCACTAGATGCCAGGCATCAACTTAGGTGCATCCACATGGTTACCTTACCTAATCAGGAGTCCAGTGAAATAATCTTGTCAGATCCCTCAGCTCAGATGTCAGTCAGAGACACACTGTGTCCTCACGGCCTTTCCCACCAAGGCTCGCTCCCCTGGAGACTTTCCCGTGCCTTGCCCAGGAGGCCAAGGACATAGCACGGCTGCTGCCCTATGGGGCCAATACTTAAATCCCTAGGAAACACACTTCGCACTAGGGGGTTGAATTCTAAGTATTGTTCATTGCTAGGGAAAAGGAGATAATCATCAATTATAGATCTGAATTCCTAAGTTACAACTCTGGGAATGGCCTGGAGCAGAGGGTATTAAAAATGCTGATTCTCAAAGTAATGAAGACATGATTGAAAAAAATTCAGACCTCCACTGATGGTTCATTTATTCTTGTTTGGAGCAAATTTCACACAATCATGAAATCAGGTTGTCAAGATACAACTAACGTTATAGGAGTCCTTTATTGTAATTATCAGTCTCTCATGGTGAACTATTTAAAAAGAATCCAAAATTTCCTAGTAACCCCAAGCAAGGAAAGTTTCTAGTGGAAAATACAGGCAATGTTTATAATGAAATGAGTAAAAGTAACTTGTTGCTATCCAACATAGCTGCAGTCCCCAACCCCCAGGCCTGAGCGGTATTGTCAGTGGCTTTCCAGGAGCTGGGCTGCACAGCAGGAGGTGAGCGAGGAAAGCTTCATCTGTATTTACAGCTGTTCCCCATGGCTCACATCACTGCGTAACTTCCGCCTCCTGTCAGATCGGCAGCAGCATTAGATTCTCATAGGAGCACGAACCCTGCTGTAAACTGCACATGCGAGGTATTGATTGCATGTTCCTTACGAGAATCTGATGCCTAATGATCTGAGGTGGAGCTGAGGCAGTGATGCTAGCGCTGGGGAGCAGCTGCAAATACAGATTATCATGAGCAGAGAGGTTTGACTGCACAATAAATGCAATGTGCTTGAATCATCCTGAAACCATTCCCCCCACCCCAACCCCGGTCTATGGAAAAATTGTCTTCCATGAAACCAGTACCTGGTGCCAAAAAGGTTGGAGACCACTGCTATATAGCATTTGACCTGTGTAAAAAGATCTATGTAAATGTTCATATTCCTACTATCAGAATAGTGACTCATTTAATCCTATTTTTTAAAAACTATTTTAAACAGAGTCTCAGTCAAATCACTCCAATCAGTCTGACAGTGGAGTTTCCGACACTCAGCCAGCAGGACACATTCGTTCCCAGAGCATCGTGAGCTCTATCTTCTCCGAAGCCTGGAAGCGAGGCACTCAGTTGGAAGAGTCCAACAAGGTAACACACTCGTTTTAATTTACGTAGAAGAATCTGTGGTATTCTATGGGTTTAACTTGTTGTTCTTTTATTCCTTTATTAAGAATCTTATTTGGCTCTATTTTCAGACTTCTTTCTCAGATCTTCACCCTTCCTTTTGTAACAGGTAAAGCTGTCTCAGACCTATCGATTTGACTTCCCCTTGGAAATATTTGCAAATTGGCTCTAATGACCTAAGATCTCAAAAATAAACAAACAAAAAAAACCCCGGCAATTTAACTCTTTTGTCAGTGGCTCAAACTTTTCAGAAATAACAATTTCCTCGTTTGCACTCTTAATTTGATGATACACCACCAACTAGTGCCAATGCCCTAAATATGTTCCAGAGAAGCTGCTTACAGTTATTTCTTTATCTATTAGTAATTTAATTCATTCAGACTCATTCCTTATCTTCTTTCTTTGGTGCTTTTTTGCATTTCTCTGGCATTGACGAATTTTCTCAAATTATCCTTTATGTGGAAGACTAAATTCAAATCAGTCCCCGTAAAATTTTGGATTTCTGAGCCTTGCATAGTAGATTGTTCAGTGACACTGAAGATAACTATAATTATTGCAAGATTATAATTAGAAAAATAGAGTGGTTCTTTAGCTGAGTTAAGACATAGTAGTCCTCTATCAAACGGTCTCTGCAGTTGTGCAGCCAAGGGTATGTCCTGGCTGTTGTCATTCCAGTGTGCAAGAGCTTAGTTCATCATTGAGGAAGAGTGGCACATCTGGCCTATTTTGTTTTTACCCAATAATTTTGATTTTTGCTGTTCTTGTGGTCTGACTCACTTACACAGGTACATTCACGGATGAGTATTAAATGGACATTTTCCCTCAGTTTATTCCTTAACTGTGTATGTGGTTGATTAACTGGTCTTTGGGAGGACGGAGGAGCCATTAGTGGCTCCAGTGTGGGGTGAGGCACTTTGCTTCAGAAGTGAGTGTTTGAGAATTAGTTCTAATGATCTAAAGTCTCAAAACACTGACAATTTAATTCCTTTATCAATTAGTCAAACTTTAAGAGTAATTCTCCTTTCCCCCGTTTAATCAATTTGGATGTAGCTAGTACTCTAAAAATGTACTAGAGAAGCTGCTTTACATAACTCAGATGTCAACGGAAAAACCCTTTGCCTCACCAAGTTATGAATGGTGAGATCCACGTGCAATTTTAAGTTATAAAACTACTTAATTGTTATATGTAAGGCCAAGGAAAACAAAGACCCAAACATTCTGTGATTAAGAAGCCAAGTCCATCATTGCACAAAGTGTTTCAGAAAGATTAAAAACCCTGCCGTGTGGCAGTGACGACTTGAGTCTCGATCATACTGTGTATTTCTTCTCCTGTTACCTCAGTCTCAGGTGCCACATGAGAAGGCCGGCACAGCTAAGGCCTGCACCCCTGAAGCAGCCAACACAGGGTCAAGTTAAGGTCAGGGGCTGTTCTCTGGAAACACATTAACCTGAGTGACTCCTATAACCAAATCTTACAGACTAATGCTTTTACCTTGATGGTGTAATTTTTAAGGAGACATGTGAGTGTCCTGATGGGCATTAGAATTGTGCCCTATAATGAGCCTTCTAGTCCACTAACAAACATTCTCGATTCTAATTAGATGTCAAATGTAATTGAAAACAAATGGTTTATGTTGGATCCTCAGAGTTTGTTCAAAGAGCCTAAAAGATGCAGCCAAATTTACCCGGGGGTCCTTTCTTCCTCTCTTCAAAAGTACTTAAATCACCATCATGCATAATTAGCTCCATAAAGTAAACGACCAGATGTGGTCATTTCGGCAACGATGCAGTACCCAGATGGGTTCGTCAGCAGCTTGTTGGCAAACCCTGCCTCCCATTTCCTGATACATTTCCTTATTCTAGCCTACCATAGTTTCTTCTTATTTTCTTCTGGCTTTTTCTGTATGATACTTTTGTGATCTTTTGCCATAATGTTTACAAAGCATTTCTTTATGTATTTTCCAGTAAAACAAATGTAAAGAATGCCCCCCTTTACCTGCATTGCTGGACTGTGCATGTTGGATGCAAGTGTCTCACCTGAACACAAGTGTGTGTGTCAAGCTCATTCATTCCTGTGTGACTGTGCACGCCTGCTCAACATTTTCATGCTCTCATGTGTCAGCTTGCTAGCATCAAAAAGCTGTCCTCACTCTTCAGGAGGCCCTCTACCAGCACCCTCAAACCCAGTACGGCATCTGCTTGATGTGGATGCAGTCATGGACGGAAGGTGAACTTGAGCCGTCACATCTCCCCTTGCCCACGTCCAGCGCTCGGGGCCTTCCACAGAGGCTTCCCTCTTAGGGCAGGGTGTGAGAAAGTCATACAGCCAAGGTCAGAAATCATACATCCTGTCACCATCCAGACAGCTTTTGCACTGGGAAGTTTTTCCTAGGTGGTTAGGCAGTCTAGCTATTCGAGAATACTGTTGGGTAAAACAAATTTTCTCTGTGTCCTTGTTGCCCAGATAATCAGATTTTAGCCTTCCTGACGCTGTCCATCTTTATGATCACCACCAGCTGCTGCTTCCTTTTCATGCATGTCCCAGACTCCTTGCTTCTTACTTTTACACAATCAAAGCTTACCTCTGTAACTGTTTTGTTTGTTGTTTTTTTTCTCTCTCCCACCCCCCTTTATACTCTTTTTAGGCCAGAATGGAGTCTGTGAATCGGCCCTACACTTCACTTGTGCCCCCTTTATCCCCACAACCTAAGATAGTCACCCCTTACACTGCTTCACAGCCTTCCCCACCCCTCCC